ATGACGTGCAGGAATTGTCTTGTACATCTTTTGAGACACCTTATTGCTTTCGTTTTTTGTCGATGCAATGAAATAGGAGCACAGATCTTCATAAAGTCAATTTTTTTGATTTATTAGGTTGAACCGAAAGTTCTTTCGCACCAAATTCAAAATTCATAAATTCTGAATTTTCCAGTCTATTGGAAAAGCTCTTATTTTTTCTGAAAGAGTAAGTCATGCTCTTCATAACGACTTCTTAGATCTTGCTAATGATCTGTTGCGTAGATAGGAGCTGTAGAAGAAAATTAGTCAAAATTCGAATTTTCTGTGTAGGGTCATAGAAAATCGAAAACTTGCAACAAAAATTGGAGCAGTCGGTATTGTAGGTTCTTTTACCAGCTCTTTCTAATAGTGCAAAGTTTGCGCCGATTGAGCGTCTCTATGGAAAGTTACAATTTCCCTGAAAAATGTCAAAATAAACCAAAATCATCCTTTTGTATTGCTTGCTCGAAAATCGTAACTTTTCATAGAGACGTTCAATCGGCGCAAACTTTGCACAGTTAGAAAGAGCTAATGAAAAAACCTACAATACCGACTGCTCCGATTTTTGTTGCAAGTTCCCGATTTTTTATGCACAGAAAATTCAATTTTTGACCAATTTTCTTCTACCGCTCCTATCTGTGCAATAGATGATCATTAGTAAGCAATCGACGGTCTTTATGAAGAGCATGACCTACTCTTTCATATTAAAATAAGAGCGGTCCAATCGGTTAGAAAATTCAGAAATAATGAGTTTTTGGATTTGGTGCGAAAGAACTTCCGGTTCAACCTAGTATTATTTTTTTCTAAACTCTAGAAAAAATTTTTTCAGTTTGTACCTAAATAGGGTACAAATCAGAGCAGTTCATACCACGCTTTTTTACCTTTTCTCTCTCCCTCCCCCCCCCCCCCAGGCTCACGTACCCGCTTCACCTGGAAGGTCGGAAACAGCCGAGACCCTCTTCACCTGGGGAGAGCCCGGCTCCCCCTATCGCACCTATGCCTCTAGGGCCGCTAGTTTCTCTTTCCACGCTAAATAGCGTACATTGTAAAAACAAACGCGAATCTGTTGTTATCGCGTTGGATCTCTCCTTAACTTTCCGTGTAGGTGACCCTGCTCCCTCATCGCAGCTATGGTTGTAATTCGTCCACTTCTGTACTTACCCTACCCGCAAACGGTAGGCTTATTCTCTGTTCTGAACTACTACATCTACCACGGGCTAGGATATAAAAACCGGTGAAAGAAACCATGGCTAGTCCATCGGTAGAAGAAGTTATGACTACACGGAAAGTTAAGGAGAGATCCAACGCGATAACAACAGATTCGCGTTTGTTTTTACAATGTACGCTATTTAGCGTGGAAAGAGAAACTAGCGGCCCTAGAGGCATAGGTGCGATAGGGGGAGCCGGGCTCTCCCCAGGTGAAGGGGGTCTCGGCTGTTTCCGACCTTCCAGGTGAAGCGGGTACGTAAGCCTGGGGGGGGGGGGAGGGGAGGGAGAGAGAAAAGGCAAAAAAGCGTGGTATGAACTGCTCTGATTTGTACCTTATTTAGGTACAAATTGAAAAAAAAATTTCTAGAATTTAGAAAAAAATAATATTAGGTTGAACCGGAAGTTCTTTCGCACCAAATCCAAAAACTCATTATTTCTGAATTTTCTAACCGATTGGACCGCCCTTATTTTAATATGAAAGAGTAGGTCATGCTCTTTATAAAGATTATCAATTGCTTACTAATGATCATCTATTGCACAGATAGGAGCGGTAGAAGAAAATTGGCCAAAAATGGAATTTTCTGTGCATAAAAAATCGGGAACTTGCAACAAAAATCGGAGCAGTCGGTGTTGTAGGTTTTTTCACCAGCTCTTTCTAACTGTGCAAAGTTTGCGCCGATTGAACGTCTCTATGAAAAGTTACGATTTTCGAGAAAGCAATACAAAAGGATGATTTTGGTTTATTTTGGCATTTTTCAGGGAAATTGTAACTTTTCATAGAGACGCTCAATCGGCGCAAACTTTGCACTATTAGAAAGAGCTGATAAAAGAACCTACAATACCGACTGCTCCGATTTTTGTTGCAAGTTTTCGATTTTCTATGACCCTACACAGAAAATTCGAATTTTGACTAATTTTCTTCTACAGATCCTATCTACGCAACAGATCATTAGCAAGATCTAAGAAGTCGTTATGAAGAGCATGACTTACTCTTTCAGAAAAAAATAAGAGCTTTTCCAATAGACTGGAAAATTCAGAAGTCATGAATTTTGAATTTGGTGCGAAAGAACTTTCGGTTCAACCTAATAATTCAAAAAAATTGACTTTATGAAGATCTGTGCTCCTATTTCATTGCATCGACAAAAAACAAAAGCAATAAGGTTCCCAAAAGATGTACAAGACAATTCCTGCAGCATGTCTGAAAGCATTGCTACACAGCTTTTCAAATTTTTCGGAACCTCTTTCTCAATCGGCCTATTTCACAATGGTGCTGTATTCGGAAGTTCCTATCGTAATTCTATAGCAATGAAGAGCGATGCGTGGTTTGCTTTATACTGTAAATCTAAGTTAGAGCTTGGTCTACGGCACTTGATAATAGGCAAAAAACTTTGTGGGAAGAAAGCTAGTAAAAACTGAAAAGTGTGTACTTACTTTTGGGACACCCTGTACGGTTCTATCAAAAAAAGGGCCAGCAACAGCAGGTAACGAGTGTGTGCCAATGCTTTGATTTTCATTGAGTTCAAATTAGCCTTGTAAAAAAACTTTCGAAGCTTTTTTCACGCCCCTTTTTTTTACAAAACCTTGGTGTCGCGGCTCGCGATACAAGCCACTCCTCGAAACAGGAGGCCGGGAGCGCTGGCTATCGCGTTACTTGGCGCGCTTTCAAGATCGCGCCAAGACCTCTCCTGCTGGGCGCGTTGCCAAGTCACAGGGTATATAAGGGCGCGCAGGCCGCGGTCTACGCCTCTTCGATTTCCGTTCGTATTGATCGTTTTTATGATTTCGTTCGTGCTGGCAGCGCCTCCAACAGCTCCCGCAGATGATCATCGGTTTCGAGCGGTTGAGCCTTTGTTATCTTCTTGGTTTTGGAGACGCGCAGCTTAACATCATGGCTCGTCTAGCGTAGGAATTGTACCAGCGGGAGCGGAGAGGGGTCACACCGTCCCGGAAGGGCTAGGGGCTTGCGGTTGACCCAGCAGAGAGCCCGGAACTACTTGTTGAAGTCGATCACCATTAGCATCGGCAGCACGGGACGAGGCGGCTCGTCCCGTGTTTAGTTTTTCCTGGATTTGAAGTAGTATTTTCAGTAATTTTAGTAGTTTTAGTAGTTTCCATAGTATTAGTAGTTTATTTTTGTGTTTTGCAGATAAATGTAGTCTAAACTAGTCGGTCCTTTTGTTTCTCAGCGTTACGCGCTATTTTACCGTGCCGTTTATACCTGTAGAGGGTAGTCCTCGGCAGCGCCCGTCAAGGCGTCATGAACCTTGGTGGACGCGCGACATCGTAGGGGACAAACGGGAGTTAGGTGTAGCTGCGGCGAGCACTTTAGGCAAGGTGCTGATCACACCGAGCCGCCACATGGTGCATCGACGCCGAGCGCATGGTGGATGGCGGTTCTGCCGCCCCGCGTATGGAGATGGGTAGCCGCGCGCCCAGGTTGCGGCTAGGTAGGTAACATCAGCGGCTTAGGTAAGGTTTTAGGTAGGTTCTCTTGCGCTAAGTTATCCCATCCTCCATGCGTGCGTAACGAATCCCGTGTCTACCACGTTCAGCACCTAGTAAGAAGATCCAGGCAAGCAGTGAAGACGCGCCTTTCGTCTTCGTAGCCAGTAGTGGTCTACAGAGGCTAGCCAGGCTAACATCGTGGGCAGCGCGTGGGGTAGTGGTAAGGTGGCAGCTTGCCAACTAACCCCCGAGCTCAGCGCGTGGACTCACTCGATTCCTGGTCAGCCACCGCGCCAGAGAGGCTGTAGGAGTGACGGGCCGGCGTCGTCATTGGCGGGCTCGACCAAGGACCAGCAGCTGCAATAATGTCGAGTTTCAACAAAGGATAAGGCAAGTAAGTGGATTAGGTTTTTTCAGGTTTCAAGGACACACGAATTTCGGACGCGCGGATCATGGCGGGGCACACACGGCGCCGTCCTTAGCAGGAGAGTGAACCGGGGATAGGTAACTGGGTATTCGGGCTAGATAAGGGGGTCTAGGATAGGTTAGCAAGGATTTGGCTTAGGCATAGGGTACAATATAGGTAAGGGGGTTTAAGTTAGGGATAAGCTTAGGTTAAGGGGGTAGGGTTTTTAGCTTGGTTTAGGAGGGTAACTGGGTTTTCTTTAGGTAGGTGAGGGGGGGGGGGGTTTAGGATTGGGGGGATGGGTAAGGTTAACAGGGCTAAGTTTGTTTTTTAGGTGGGTTAGGTAAGGGTATATTTTAGTGGGGTTCAAGCTAGGATAGGTAGGTAAGGTATCTAGGTTAGGCCGCGCGGATAGGTAGGTAAGGTACTCACGTTAGGTAAAGGGCATAGGTAGGTAAGGTATTTAGGTAAGGTAGATAAAGACGCGGCAAATAGGTAGGTAATCCATATCTCTTCAGTCTAGGTAAGGTATGCTCTTTAGGTTTAGGTAGGCACTTAGCGGTTCACTCGCCCATGGGTTCTGCGAACCCCTCCAGGTCGCCAAGCTGGAGCCTCCTACAGTGTCTACACTGGCCTCCGGTCGGTTACTTGCTCTGTTAGTTCTGTTACACGCGTTTCACTTAGATGCCGCGCTAGGCTCTTAGACGGACGCGTTGTCGTAACTGCTTGTCTTGCGCCCTCATTCTCCCTACTGCCGTTGGACTACCCCATTCCCTTTGCTTTGGCGCACGGTTTAGGCGGGGCCGGTTTTCTATATGTACTCATTTCATATTTATCTTGGGGGTTGTAGTTGTAGTTTCTACTCGCTTACCTTGTTGTATTTTTGAAATTGCGTTTCTGCTTTTTTATGTTCCAGGTAATGTCGCAACTCGGTTCGCAAAAAGCCCAATTTACGAAGGCCGCTAACTCACTACGCAAGAAGATCGCGGAAGTCGATCAGGCCAACCTCGATCTTGTGGACTTTGCTTCGGAGGCGAGTAAAGATCCACATTTGGTTTTCAATCGTTTGAATTCTTTTTCTCTTTCATTTTCTTCTATTAGTCGTGCTGCCTCTGCCCTACGTGGCCAGTTGGAGAAAGCCGAAGAGTTTGCTCGGCAGAATCCTGACGAGCGTGGAGAGTTCCCTTTCCTCTCCGACATCCATACTCATTGGGAAACCGGTGGGATGGATGATCTTCTGGAGGAAGCGGATGCTCTTCTTGTTCGCTTGGATTCGGCGATCAGACTTCTTCCTATTTTGGGAGGCCTTCAATCTTCTGTTCCATCTGTTGCTCCATCCTTGCCGCGCAATTCCCCGCCCCATACTACCCAAGATCCTGCGCCATCCTCTCAACACGCGCATCAGGCGGAAGTGGCGGTGCACAGCCATTCTCCGTCTCGTCCATCTGACCCAACAGCGTCTGTTGACCAGCGTCCCCTTGCGAGCCACACTGGCGCGCATCCCTCGGGCGGATTTGGCTTCCCCTCGGGTAACCCTCCGTCGAATCCCATCCACTTTTCGCAATCCCCATCTGGGCTTCCAAATTCTCTGCCAAATCCTTTTTCGCATGACCTTCAAGCCTCATCCTCTTCATCCCTTAACCCCTTTTTGTCCTTGGAGCAACCTGTGAAGTTGCCTTCTTACGAGATCCCAACCTTCAGCGGCGATATCGAGGCATTCTCCGAGTTTTGGGACATCTTTTCTACAGCCGTGCATAATAACAACACCGTGCCGGCAGCAGTCAAGTTCATGTACTTGAAGTCGGTCCTTAGAGGAGATGCTGCTCGGATTATCGCAGGCTTCAAACCAACGGCGAAGAATTACGACACTGCAGTACGCACCATTCTGAGTACGTACGATCGTCCTGAGATTCTGAGAAGTCGATTGTGGGACAAGTTGTCGCAGCAGTCACCGGCGTCAGACTCTGCAATTTCGCAACGCGCTACACTTTGCGCGCTTCAGGCAACTTGGTACCAGATGAGGGAGTTGAACGAGGATTACAGTTCGATCGCTACGTTGAGGACAATTCGATCTAAGTTTCCCTGGCGTACACGCGAGAAAGTTGGCGAACTGAAGGGCAAAAGTGACACTATGTGGACAGTGGACGAGCTGTTGTCAGCTCTCAGCACGGTTATTGATAGACTGCAAGTGGTAGAGGATTCCGATCCAGCAGGTCATCGCGCTTATAATTCGTATTCCACAGTTCGTCAGCATTCTCCTTCCCCGTATAGGTATCCCGGCACGAGTCAGCCGTACATGAGGTATCCATCGTATCAGCAACAACCAGCTTACTTACGTTACGCGCGTAGCTCGCGCTCACCATCACCCAGATACCGTGACGCCACCTACAGACCTCCGACTCCTTATTACCCGCGGCGCACATCACGTAGCCCTGTTAGACCTCAGTATACCACACCTTGGGAGCCTCATTGTGCCTTCTGTTTCCGTCATGGACATCCTTCGGAGTGTTGTATGACAGTACGCGACGTGCAACAGAGGAGAGAGCTCGTCAACCAGTATAGACTGTGTTGGCTGTGTCTCGAAGAAGGTCACACGTTCAACATCTGCAGAGCCCCAGCGTGTAGATACTGTGGCAGATTACACCATCCAGCTTTGTGTGCTACATTACCACCAGCGCCCTATTCGTCGTACCCACCTGCGCAATTCCGTCAGCGCACTCCTTCACCTAGACGCGTACAGTTTGAGACGACAGCGCACCCTTCACCACCTCGCACCCAATACGCGAGTCCGCGCACTTCTCCTTCGCGTCGACCTACTCTCAGACAGCCATCTCCATCTAGGCGTCAGTCACGTTCCAACTCTAGACGCGCTACTCTTCCTCGAAGATCTTCAAACGCGTTTCCCGCTGTGCAAACGTCCACCTGCACTCCAGTCGCGCATGATTCCATCCAGTCAGATGAGCCCATAGAGTTGCTCGACCAACATGAAGCTAGCTTAGGGCCACACCCACCTTCATCTTGTACGTCTGTGTGCCAAGCTGCTTCTACAACTCAGGTTCCTCGTCTAATGGTGGTTCATGCTATAACCCGGAATCTTAAAACTAGTACGGACGAACTGCTTACTGTTTTCCTTGATAGCGGTTCGCAGTATAGTTTTATCTGTACCTCGCTGGCCTACCATCTCGGCCTGACTTTTAAGAATACAAGGACTGTCACGACTCTGACCTTCGGAGGACATCAGTTCACTGAAGACTCGTCAGAAGTCACACTCACGTTATGGGACCAGCTCGATCGTCCAATTCAACTTCAGCTTTGGACGCGCGATACCATCACAACGGTCTCGAAGACGAACAACCTGGATGAGATGAACAACACTTATATGGACGATAGAGTCGAAGTCGACGTACTCACTGGAATAGATAACTACTGGCGCGTTGTGGACTTGCATAGGAATGAGAAGCTTCCATCAGGTCTCATTCTGTCCCACACTCGCTTCGGACCAGTTCTATCAGGTCTTAGTTATCCAGTAGTATCGGAGATTACTAGCTCGGCAACGACTCTACTCAACGATGACGCGCCAGGAACGGAACAGCTTTTACGAAGTCTCCTCGGCCTAGACACACTCGGATTAGACGATTCAGATGTATCACCAGATGCCGACGTCATCAGGCAGTTCTACGACAGTGTTAGGATAATCGACGGTTCCATCTACGTCGCATTCCCGTGGAAATCCCAGCATCCTCCTTTGGCAGATAATAAAGCTCTCGCCTTTCGTCGCTTAGAGAGCCAGTACGAGAGGCTCCATGCAGTACCATCAGCGTGGAGCGAATACTGCCACACCTTTGATCGTCAGTTACGATCAGGCGTGATCGAGGATGTTACGGATTTGCCCCCTACGAGTCCTAACACGTATTACATCCCACACCAGGCAGTGTATAAGGAGGATAGCCAGACCATCAAGCTACGTATAGTCTTTGATGCCTCGAGTCATCAGAAAGGACATCCCAGTCTGAACGATTGCCTGCATCGAGGACCCTCCTTAATACCCGATCTTGTAGGAACCCTGCTGCGTAGCCGTCTACATTGTTATCTGATGATCGCCGACGTAGAGAAAGCCTTCCACCAGATCCACTTACACCAGAATCAGAGGGACTGCACCAGATTTCTCTGGTTGAGAGATGTCCACCAACCTCCGTCGGCAGAGAATCTCCGGATCTTGCGTTTCACGCGCGTTCCTTTCGGCATCAACGCATCACCGTTTCTACTCAACATGTCCATCAGATATTTCCTCGAGAGGGATCCTGCCAATCGGCTTAAGGAAGAGATTCTTGCCAACACGTACGTTGATAACGTGCTGATCGGAGCGAATACCACCAAGGAGTGTCTTACTAAGCAGATGGAGTGCAAGGAAATCTTCAGTCGCATGCACATGAACCTACGGGAGTTCATGTCTAACAACCAGCAGACGATGCTTAGGATTCCAAAAGAGGATTGTATGACCTTACCCGGACGATTTGTGAAGCTCCTAGGGATCAAATGGGACCTCAAGCTCGATGTACTTCACGTGCCTGTTGAGATCGCGCGACAAGAAGTGTCGAGCAAGCGTACCGCGCTTCAAGTGTATATATCGCTCTTCGATCCACTAGGACTTCTTACCCTGCTTCTTATAAGACCTAAGATGTTTATACAGGACCTCTGGGAATCTGGTTACTCGTGGGACGATCCGTTAGACGAAAGTACTACCCAGAAATGGAATACCATTGTCCAGGAAATCAGCGGCTTTCACTTGAGACTACCACGTTTCGTAGGATACCCATCTGCCAACGCGTACGACCTTGTCATCTGTTCAGACGCGTCGAAACGAGTGTATGCTGTAGCAGTCTATGTCGTGACGCGCACGTCCACCTATAGCCCCAGTTCCACTCTACTCTTTGCTAAGGCAAAGTTAGCACCATCAAGCGCGATCACCATCCCGCGCATGGAACTCTTGGCGTGCCACATGGCTGCAAAAACGGTACGTTTCCTGAAAAGCCAGCTCAAAATTCGTTTCAATTCCATCAGATTCCTGACTGATTCTCAGATAGTACTGTACTGGATTTATTCTAACAAGTTGCTCAAGACTTACGTCGCCAACCGTGTCAAGTACATCCGACAGGTTCTCGACGAGCTTAAGTCTGACAACATCGACTGTGGATTTTATTATCTGGCTACTGACGCTAACCCGGCTGACTGCGCCACCTGTGGACTCACAGCTTTAGAGCTTGAGAATCACATCTGGTGGAGTGGTCCATCCTTCATCACGACTCCGTTTGCTGATTGGCCGTGCAAGTCCTTCAACGCTTCTTCCGATCCACCTCCAGGAGGAGATTCTGAAGAACTACGGACGACCACAGCAGTAGTAACTTCAGCCAATACCATCATGGCACCTTACCAGTCCTTTGTACCGTTTAGGCGTACTAACTCCTACATCCGACTTGTTCGTATCACAGCCTACGTCCTGAAGTATGTAGCCAAGCTACGCCGTTTAGTAAGGACGCGCCACAGCGCTGATGATTCCGACGAGCATCCCCTATTCGGCACAATAGACGCAAGTCCCACTGTAACACCGGGTGACTTTTCAGCTGCTGAGTTGATCGTTATACGTGAGCACTATCGCGAGGTTCCTCAGCAGTTACACGGCTTTCATCTGAAGAAACTCCGCACAAGGCAAGAAGGTGACGGTACGATACGTGTGGACTTACGCATGGCCAACGCAGAGACGAGCGGGACGGCGAAGAGCCCGATTCTCATACTCTCAGGACATTCCCTTTGCGCCATGCTAATAGCTCATTATCACCAGAAGCTGTTCCACGCTGGTACATCCCATCTGATAGTCGCCTTACGCGAGAGGTTCTACATTCCCAGGCTTAAACGCATGGTAAAATCGGCTATTGCTAAGTGTGTGACGTGCAAGCGCTATCAAGGTCATCTTTTTGCATATCCACGTTCACCAGATCTTCCACCGGAACGGTTCGTTCGAAGTCGTCCCTTCCAGAACATCGGACTCGATTATTTTGGCCCTATTTCTGTCCGTCTACATCAAGGCACTCTCCATAAGGTTTGGGTTTGTCTCTTCACGTGCATATCTACGCGCGCGCTACACCTCGAAGTAGTCAAGGACAACTCAACCTTCCAGCTTCTCCTAGCAATTAAAAGATTTATCGCGCGTAGAGGAGCTCCTGACACCGTCACAAGCGACAACGCGCCCACGTTCAAGCTAGGAAGGGAGATCATTACCAATAGCCTGAAGGAAGTAGCAGAAGATTCCCTAGTGGACGGATTCGTCGAAAGCCAGAAAATCAATTGGACTTTTATCACACCATACTCGCCGTGGAAAGGTGGATTCTACGAGCGTTTGGTAGGATCAGTGAAGAGCTGTTTGAAGAAGACGGTTCGGCGAGAAACCCTCGACTTGTGGCTTTTTGAGACGCTCATCCTTGAAATAGAGGCCGTCCTTAACACGAGACCCTTATTTCCGGCGAATTCGGCTAACTCGAACACGGACCTGGTGATAAGACCCATAGATCTGATAAATCCACAGTTTCGATTAGGTCGCCTGACGTACAGCATGCCTCAGAAGATCGAGACGTCGTCGCGCGACAACTACGAATCCCTGAAGACGCAGTACCGGCTCTTGCAGACCGATCTTGATTACTTCTGGGATATATGGCACAAGGAATACCTCGCCGCGCTCGCAGAGCGACAAGCGATGCGCATCCAGAAGGGCTCCGGTACCAAAAGGTCGCCGGTCGCCAAAAGATCAGCCAAAATTAAGATTGGAAAGCGAAAGATAGTGGACCGTGCACTCAATCATCTACTGCCGTTAGAGATCAGTGCAGCAGACACAGAGGATCCTCAGGCGAACGCTCAGGAGCGTAGAGCGACACGGATTCAACCATCAAGAACAGTGAAGGCAAAATGATAGTGAAATCATCATTCTACAAACGTATGTTGTTATTGTTAGTTTCAGTTGTTATTTGTTGATTTCATTTGTTATTTATTGTTGCTTTGTTATCCTATTTGTTTCGTACGTATGTAGCATGATGTATTGCGCGAGGACGCGCCTATCATATTTTTGCTTCAATCCATTGAATTTTGTGTCAAGAGTTCGATCTTCGAATAAACTAGGTGTCGGTTCACTTGATCGCTTACATGGACATGCTTATACCCTTATATGACTTTTTTCCTTTACCCGATTATGACTTCCCTGTGCATAGCTTTTGCAGTGCCACAGCCACGGATTTGGATTCCCTCGGATCAGACTCTAACTTCGCCCAGCCCAGTCAAGCACCTCCTACGCCGTATATACTGCCAGGTATTTTTCAGCGCATGCGCGCGTTATTTTGAACAGCCAAGGTTAGGTATAGGTACTTTGTGCATTTTGCATCTTATTTATTGTTGCGCATACGCGCCTTAGGTAGTGGAAGAGCTTGCTATCCTTTTTTCTGCGCGTATTTGCTAACCTTGTGCCTTGTGCAGTTTGCGTAGAGGAAGCCCGCGCGTTGATATCCTTGTCGTGGGAGGCTGGACTGAAGTCCATTTTTTTTAACATCTTTAGCCTGCACGATTTTGTTTTTTATTGCCATCTATAAGTATCAGGTCCCCGATCGCGCATGGGAGGAAGCGCTCGCGCGCCTCGGTAACATCATTTCAGACGTGAGCGAGGATTTTGGGACCTTCCAGGGTAGGTAGTGCGTCAACACCACCATGGATGCAGATTGTTTCGGTATGTACGGTCCGATTTTGTTTGATTTTGACCTCGTGAATAATGTGTGTTGCAGAATTGTATCATTTGGTTGAGCACACCTGGTTATGGATGGTTGTTCGAATGCGCATGTCCGATTATCAGCTCCATGGCACCAACAGCAAGTACTACCGCATCTACCTGCCCAGTCATCAATACATTAGTCTGTTTCACCTTCACTAACTGTGGACGTTCAGCTATTTTCACCATCCTTCTTAGCTGTATTTTATTTTATGTTATCATCCATAGTTTAGTTGGCGCGTCGTGCGCATTGGTGTAGAACTGTATCAAGTATTCGGACGCGATAGCGCCCTTGTGAAGGTGTTGCATTTTTGCACGGGCCGAGTTGTTCATTTTCCTTTGTCGCGCGCCCCTACTGTGCTGCCGATGGCGACGTTTCTTTTCTTTGGCTATACTCGGTCAGGTGTTCTCCGTTGTGGACTCCAGCGCTATCACGTAACCACCATCCGAACGTCCAAGTCCACTGTTTCGGGGGGGAGTGTCGCGGCTCGCGATACAAGCCACTCCTCGAAACAGGAGGCCGGGAGCGCTGGCTATCGCGTTACTTGGCGCGCTTTCAAGATCGCGCCAAGACCTCTCCTGCTGGGCGCGCTGCCAAGTCACAGGGTATATAAGGGCGCGCAGGCCGCGGTCTACGCCTCTTCGATTTCCGTTCGTATTGATCGTTTTTATGATTTCGTTCGTGCTGGCAGCGCCTCCAACAGCTCCAGCAGATGATCATCGGTTTCGAGCGGTTGAGCCTTTGTTATCTTCTTGGTTTTGGAGACGCGCAGCTTAACATCATGGCTCGTCTAGCGTAGGAAGTGTACCAGCGGGAGTGGAGAGGGGTCACACCGTCCCGGAAGGGCTAGGGGCTTGCGGTTGACCCAGCGGAGAGCCCGGAACTACTTGTTGAAGTCGATCACCATTAGCATCGGCAGCACGGGACGAGGCGGCTCGTCCCGTGTTTAGTTTTTCCTGGATTTGAAGTAGTATTTTCAGTAATTTTAGTAGTTTTAGTAGTTTCCATAGTATTAGTAGTTTATTTTTGTGTTTTGCAGATAAATGTAGTCTGAACTAGTCGGTCCTTTTGTTTCTCAGCGTTACGCGCTATTTTACCGTGCCGTTTATACCTGTAGAGGGTAGTCCTCGGCAGCGCCCGTCAAGGCGTCATGAACCTTGGTGGACGCGCGACATCGTAGGGGACAAACGGGAGTTAGGTGTAGCTGTGGCGAGCACTTTAGGCAAGGTGCTGATCACACCGAGCCGCCACACTTGGGGTTGTAATGCCGCAAAAATTGGAGCAGCATTCTAACAAGGGCAGGACCCTCTGTCGGAGTGGGGTTCTCACAGGTAATGCATATCATCAGCTAGTCTCGGGGCTCCTTATACTAAATCCGTGTTCATTAACTGCTCAATGATCTTTCTGGGAAGAGTTATGAGCGATGGTTTCTCCAGGATGACCACGGATCGTCTAAGTTAGCAGCGCCTAGAATGTACAGTTGTGGAGGGGCGGCCAAGCGGATAGCTGCGGAGACTATGGAGGAAGTGGTAATTCGATACTTATGTTTCCAACATCTTAGCAATTTTGCAAATTATTCAACGGGTGCCGGGTGTTCCTCTGCCTTAGGGACCCTCTAAGGATACATATCGAACCATCTGCAAAATGCAAAGATGTTGGGAACATAAGCATTGCGAATTCTTTACCACTTCCTCCATAGTCTCCACTTATTCACTCCGCCGTTATTCGCTCGGCTAACCTTTAGTACTGTTTTCTTCACTCCGCTAACTCAAGCGATCCGCGGTCATCCTGGGGAAACCATCGCTCATAACTTTCCTGAAAGATCATTGAGCAGCCAAGGAACAGGGATTTGGTATCACTGTCCCAAGACCAGCGCAATGAATCATCATGTGTGGGAACTCCACTTCGACCAGGGATCTTTCCTTTGTAAGAAACTATCAAAGTGTGGCCAACGTCATGCACCTCCATTCAAACAAACGTTTTGCAGCTTCCTTTCCCTCGCCCTCCTCCCCCCCCCCCCCCCTCAAACGGAAATCCTCCGCCCGCTACCACTGTTATATATTAGATTGATGCAAATCTTGCGTAACTAGAATAATATTTGATAATCCAAGGACTAAACCTATATTTATCAGTGTAACTTCCAAAAATAGAGGCTCTGCGCTCATACCTTGGATAGTCTAGAGACAGGGCGTCAAAAGTGAAGGTTGGTAAACATATGATCTCATAAAAAGTGAAGGTTGTTTAAAGAAGATCAGAGAAGGTAAAATGACGTAAATCAGATATAAAAAGCAAAAGGAACTGCTAAAAACTGGATAAAAACGCTGCGATGAGGTTTGAATTGCATTTGGCGGTTTCTCAAAGTGCAAGTTTGCGCTCGAGGACCAGCAATTCGCAACACGGGGGGAAGCGAAGAAGAGCTAATTTCTTTTTTTTTACGATTGTTTCAAAGAAACATGTTTCGGAAGGAGTGGTCATCAAGAAGAAAGTAAACAAGAAAGAAATTCATAAAAACTCGAAGTTTCTTTTTTACTAACAAGGGAAGTCACTTAACTTAGGTCGGCCTTTTGAAATGAGACACATATATTTAGAATCACCTCGGAACGCTGATTCCAAATATGATGTCCTTAGCTGCGAAGCGTTCCTCTGAAGCGAGTTATGAGCTTTTTTAGTACGTGTCATTGACATATAACTGAATATGGAAAGAGGGCCTTTCGATGAAAATCTGCCCAAAAAATGGTGGAAGACTGAAATAACATCAAATTGAGTCACTTGGCTTTGATAGGGTGTAGTATGTATTTGAACCACTACCTAGATGATGATACCGTAGCATGCCTAAGGCGGTCAACACGCAAAGTTTGCTCAAGAAAAAGCACATAACTCGCTTCAGAGTAATACTTCGCAGCTATGGAAAAGCAGATTTGAAATCAGCGTTCTAAGCTAATTGCTATATGTGTCTCATTTCCAAAGGCTGACCTAACTTAAGTGACTTCCCTTGTAAGTCGAAAAGAACGTCAAAGCCAAATTCAATTTTTGATGCGTCCTTTAAATATTTACCCCTGCATCGACGTTCCTGTTTCCTCGGACGTTGTCTGGATTGTTGGGCTTATTGTTCTGAGCAACAATCGCCCAAGCTGGAAAAAAAATCGCTGCGAAAGCACTGAAACAGAACAAGGTAAAGAAAAACACATTTTTTACGGTTCTTCGCAAAAATATTCCGCCATAGTTGAAGAGATAAGCACTTGGCCGTTGTCTACATTATGAACAAAAGCAAGATCTATAGAATGCGTGAAAAAACCGCGTGAAAAGAGGTAAACTAGGACAAAAACAAGAGATTTTTGAAAACAAGATTTACGCCGGATTTCTCGACCAGATCAAAAAATTTGGTTTTGGGACGTCGTGAGCGTGAAAATGGAAATCAAGAGCTTCAAAATGATATATAGCTTGCTAAAATTGGTTTTGAAACAACAAAGAAAAGGGTACCAGATCCAAATGCCCCGCGCCCCGCGTTTGGGGTAGCGAGGTAACGCGCAGCGCGCGGAGATGCACACGAGCAGCGGAGAGAGACCAGAGCCGACGGGGCGTGGTCGCTGTGGTCGCAGATCTCCGCGGGCCTCAACGACCTGCAACATTATATATCATTCTGATCGTTATGACACGACGAGGAGCACTAACAACGTCCCAAGCGTTAAAATCAGAAAATGTGGTTTTGCGACATTGTCGTCGTGAAAATAGAGATCAAGAGTCACTCGTTAACGAGATAGCCCAGCATTTTCGTGCGCGACTCTCTGCGCAAAATTCAAGCGCAGTTTCTCGTTTTTATTCAACCCCAACAGCTTTCCTGAACTTCTGAAACTCGCGTTCAAATAAGAAATTAATTGAGAAATGTTGTCGTGAATTCCGGCGAAAATTTCACAGGGAAACTTTCTTTTTAACGTAAAAAAGGTTACGACGCAAATTCTTGGTTTCGCTGAGTAACCTGGGCCGGTAGTAATCTACCCTACCTGGTGGCATCAAAGATGCCGGCAAGTTGGCACACATCGCGGAAAGATGCCAACTCCGCCGGCAGCTCGCGGAGTGATTGTAGGTTTTGTTAATCTTACGTAACCTTAGCATGCAATCATTTCGCACATTAAATTTTGATGACGCAGACAGCCGC